ATTTTAGTCCTCTATTGTTCAGCCCATTCAGGAGGTGAGTGGTGTGATGTTTTGTTTTTAGAACTATTGTACTTTTTATAGTAGTTTACCCATAAAAATACAGTTAGATCTTCTTATCCTTTCACTGGGTACCTTTAAGTCATCTCAGGTGCTCTCAGAATGAAAATAATTAAGTACTACATTCAGCTGACAGCTTGCTGCTGAGAATATTTGAAATTATAATCTGTTTTTAAATAGACATCTGCAGTATTTTATGGCTCATAATAATTAGTTCAAAGAAATGTTGGAGTTTTTTTTTAATAACTAAAGCCCTCATTACATGGAATATGTTTACTAACAATATACAGTATTCAGAATTTTTTTCCTTAACACCCAAATAACAACAAAAAAATCAAGGAAAAGAAGGATTCACTTGTGGAGAGGTGAGGAATTAAACCACCAGTTGGAAAGGGACCAGAACTGTTCCCAAATCATCATGACAACTGCACAAGTGTCTCAACTATCCTCATCACTTCTTCATGCCCTGAATGGTCTATTCTGTAGTGTCTCTCTAGCCTTCCATTAAACCTTGCTTTTGCAGAGCATGCATGTTTCTTTTCTGGAAGCAGTGCAAGATTTAGTTCCTGTTTCTTGTTTAGATGGTGGTTTTTATTGTTTCGTTGCACTTTCAGCTCCCGAGGCAACGGTAGGTTAAAAAGCATGACGATATGCATRAATGTTTCAGGAGTGAGGCGGCTCYGAACTGTTTCATCTTTAAGCACAAACTGTTTTGATCTCSAATGGAGCCGGGAGCAACACTTCAGCGGGCCGGCCCAGTGTGCGAGACGTTTTGAAGCCCGGCCAGAGGAGTTACATAACTCCCCCACGGTCACATTGTAGCTCCTTGACGGACAGCAACACACAGCTGCATTCAGTTGGCCTTTCTCACACATAACATCATAACTGGACTCCTTTCAGAGTTTACATGTCTAAATAGACAATCGTTTTTATTATTTTTTTTCAAGCATTTTCACTCGGTTCAATGTTTTTCATAAGTTATGTAGTTGTGCTCTGGGCACGTGACCAAGCACAGGACAGTTCTCCCCACAGTAAAAGGATGAAATGTCTGCCTCAGTTTTGCTATAAAAAGTTCATCCAAGGCTTTTTCTCATTCATTTTAAACCTRTCAGCCTCGACCTGTCTTTCTTTCCTCACACATCTCTTCCACATTCCTGCCCTCCCTCCGTCACCTCTGCTACCAGCTTACCTTCACACCAAGGGTTGAACAGCAGGATGACGCTCTTGCTGGAGCAGTGAGCGTTTGGCGCCTCGTCCTTCAGRGACCGAGTCAACACGGTGAGCCCGTAGAGGCCGATCACAGCGTTGGCAGGAGAGTTTACGGACAGCTTGAGCTTGCAGCCGTTCTGCTCTGTAATCTTGGCCTCCCAGCCCTGGTCCTCCAGGTGCTCCACCAGCGGAATGATAACGTGGGTCCCTTTGGACACTTTGGGCAGGAGACCTGAAACAGACGGGGTAGATATGGATTGTTATTTTAATGTTCTGTACAAAAAATAATCAGTAAAAAGATTATGAAAAATGAGGTGCATCTCTAAATATTAACATTTTCTTTCCTCTGTTTTTAGTTCTTTTAGAGTACTCAGAAAATATTCAGATGAAATCCATTTAGGTACAAGAAGTGGAAGTAGAGAGGGACGACTGCAACATCTTGTCGTGTCGCTGTGTTAGTCAGGCAGCTCTGGTAAATGAGACCAAACTGTAAACCACAAAACAACTGAGCCCATCTGTGCTCTGCGTAAACAAAGTTGTGAGTTTCAAAATCCCTTGACGCACCATTTCCTTTTCAGAAAACATACCACACGTGTGTGTTTGTTCATGTTATTATCTTCCATCTTTGTTTTATGTGACCCAATATTTTATCTACCAACAGGGCCTTTAGCCTCGTTAAGATAAGCTGAATGCTTTCCATTGAGCTGTTGGGTTAATGGCACCCAGCCGAGCCACCGCTTTCTGAACCGAGCATGAAGTTTATCAAGAAAGCTTTGTTCTCCGTCTGACTGCAGGCACGACTCCACGACCTTCCTCTCTTACCTCTGAATATTTGTTCAGAAGGAAATCTATGAAAAGCAGCGTGTCTTATCTGAAGAAACAACTCTGTCTGTGTGGAGAATTGTCTAAAACCTTTCTCCGGCTTCTTCATACAGAAACTTGGACGGGGATCAATTCTGGCTGTAAAGGTTTCCTCTGCAGATGCAGCAGAGAAAGTTGTCTAAGCAGCTCTTGACAGCAAATCACCACCACGTGGTGATGTCATGACCAGGCAGCAGTAAGAGATTCGTGAATACCAGAGAGAGGTGTTCGGTGTCCTGTGGTCTGGAAACTGTTAGYGCTGAGGGCCGCTGGGTGGAATCCATGTTTGCCTGGAAGCAAAGGTTGAACTGCTGCTCCGTTAAAACTTGAGCACCACCATGCAAGGTATTTAGATCGTATTTCACACTCGTCTGTGTTTTATGTCACTTTAGACTTAGGCTACGCAGTAACGGTTTAAAGGGCACTCTGTTTTACACATTGAAAACAGGAAAATATCCTGTATGTTGCCAATTCCGGCTTAAAAGAATCCAGCTGCAGATAAGCTGCATATTACGACTTTTATGGCATTTTTGGATTGTAAGGCAAAGCCYGACCTCGTTCTGCCCAGCCTTGGTTGTGTTTGCTTTGAGTAGAGTGCTGCCTTRATGTGGGCGGGGATCATCACATTAAAAACATGTGAATCTTATTTAGTTTTCAATTTTTTTTCAACACAAAAATGGACTACACCAAACACTTWGGGAAAGTACCGAAGGCTGTACTGGACCATCCAGCAGTATGAAGCTGAAAATGAGAGGGCAAGAGAACTGTAAGCTAATGGTAGCTAATGTTAGCTTGTTGCTGCTTAGTAGCTTGATAGTTGTTTTTGTGGAACTCGTGTGAAAAATAGTTACAGTCAACCAATCAATGAGTAGCAGCAGACAGACCCAAACAGAATCACAGATCTCTGGGTTCCAGAAACCGGGCTGGAACTGGGCAAATGCAAACATGCTGAACCTGTCCTGGGTAAAAAGGCACGTAGATAACAATTTATCTGGTTTACAAGTACCCATTTCTATTTTTTTATTTGTCAATCCTCTTATTTCAGATTTACAAGTTGTTTTTATTGTTTTTGTTGCTTCATAACTCATTTATTGCTTCTAATATAAGAGCATAAGGGAATATGGCACCAGCTGATATTCAGCCTGACAGGCCTTGATTGGCAGGCAGGTGATGAAAGCTTTTCTTTATAAACATTCATGAGCGTGTTACCGGTTTTGAGCTCTAGGTGCATCTTATCATTGTCAGCATCAAAAGGTCGGTTGAGCTCCATCTCTATCTGGAAGGTCTGTCCTCGGCGGATGATCAGCTCGTCTCCATGGTACAGATTGGTGTGGTGCTCCACTCTGTTCTGACCCGTCTTGGAGCTTAGCAGGTCCACTGAGCACACTGACAGTTTTGCTTCTGACAGAGAAAGAAGTTGGATGATTCCTTTATCAAAGCTGATATTACATCATGTGTTCAGGATGCAAAGTACTGTATAAAGGACTAAATTACCTTCAGTTTCCTTCAATTCCCCATTCTCTGGTTTCTCAGGGATCGGTTTGACAGGTTCGGGGGTCGGGCCTTTGGCCCACTCCACCTTATCTGTAATATCATAGGAGGTGCTGCTTTGGCGCTTACAGCAACACGGACAGATCTTCCTGAACCATCGACGGCAGCCTCCCTCCTCCTGCTTCTTCTCCTCCACCTTCTGAATGGAGAGCTCCACCCTGGTGGGCAGGGCCACYCCAGGGAAACGCCCAATCTCCGACGTGCTTCGTAGTGTCAGCCGTTCACCTGGCATCCTGAAAAACAAGGTGATGTTATTAAAACAACACAGGCTTGAACATGAATTAACAAAATAAAGGTCCAGATGAAACTAATTACACATCTTTAACTTGACCTTTTGAAAGAAATAACTAATTTTCTCAGAATGGAAAGCTACAACCCACTGGAATGATTGTTGTAAAACTCTCATGTACAATTTAAAATGAAATCTGTCAGCTGAAGCAAACACAGTCAGCTGAAGCCTATTAATAAAATTGCAAAAATTAACCAAGGAACAAACATCCAAATTTGCAACCACCAAGATAAACATCTCACCAGCTCTGCCATGCTTTTTTTAAAAATCTTTCTATCATTAAAGTTAATTTTTTCCCCTCATTGTCTCACAAATACCACATTTCTGACATTCAGACACTCCCAAAGCAGTACGGGATATCAGATTTTGTAGGGTAAACTGCCTGTGTGATCCAACATAACTCCTCTGAGCAGCTGGACTCCATTTGCTACAGATTATGTGGTCAAAATGTCTGTGTGCAAAAATACTAGTGTGTACACTATGGACAGTAATGTGCACCATATGAATGGTTATCTTGTTGTTAGGCCACGCCCTCCAACAGAGCACTAATAGCCACATAAATGAGATCATTCATTGCAAGCATGTTTGACTGTTCTCTGGGTTCATCCCATGATTTGTTACTCTGGGTCAAATGTCATAGATCAAATGGGAATGCTATGGAAAGTGTCAAAGAGAAGCTGTGTTAGGGAGGCTTCAGTCACCCCATTTTTATCTGCATCTTGGTAGTCACAGAAATCTACACAAAGTTGTTAAGCTATATGAGTTCTTGTAAAACACCCACAAACTATAATGAGCTGCAGTAATACTGGAAGGAGAAAACAGTATTATTAAGGTTTGAAAAGCAACTTTAAAGTGTTTGCACTTTTCTTTGCACTGCAACACAGTAGAGCTGCATCACTGCCTTGATTGTTTGATCTTCTCCAATTTACTTTGTGTGTGGTTTGTGTGTGTTGGAAGGATTTCACAGTTGCAACAACCCAGTGGCTTTGATTGGGCTGATTCCTCAAGATTCAGACAGCATTTCAAAGCACAGTGTGTCAGATTTAGGAGTTTTACTACTGAACATTTTTCTCTTTGTCTTCCATGTCCAGGCCAGAAGAGGTGTCGCTATCTTAGCTGAACTGCTAATGAAGAAGCTGCTAATAAACTCATAACTATCATGACTTTTCAGCAACCAACAAGCCAGTCAATGAACTACAGCAACCTACCTGGCTCAGTGAACCTCTAGCTTGGACCATTTGTTTGCATCAGAACAATGCCCATTCTTGCAAATGCTGTTTGGCAACTTGTCGCAGCCAAGAGAGATAACTTACCTTCCTAGCTAGCAGACACAGTTGTGTTTGGGTTGCACATTTTGCTACATTTGCTGAATTTTAGGCTATTTCTGCCCTCAGGTGAACTATTTTAACATTTTTCTTCTAACAATCTCTGGCCACATTGTATTACTGAAATACGTAATAATATATAATAAATAGTTGAGTTTTGAGTCACAGGTGGATTGTGTGGTTAAAAAAGCACACCAACAGATGCATTTTTATCGCAAGCTTCGTTCTTTTAATGTCAGTCCTGTTTTTATGAAGATGTTTTATTCTGCTTTTATTGGATCTGTTCTCACTTTTGCTTTTATTTGTTGGTACGGGTCACTTTCCATCAAATGTAAGAATTGCTCACATAATATTGTCAAGATTTGTTGTARGGTTGCTGGCATGTCTCTAAATGACCTGAGTGAGGTCTATAATTCCAGGTCTTTAAAGAAGGCTAAGATCATTCTAGCTGATTCAAGCCAAACTTTGTGGGGACAATTCTCCCTCTTACCTTCATGTCGGAGCACTGTAAGAAAAACAGACTGAAAAAATCTTTTGTTCCAGCTGCAATTGGCCTGATTAATTCCAGGCCTATATTGTAAGTGTTGACATGGAATATATGTATGTATGTTGTACATTGTATGTGTTGGTTTTTCTCTTTTCACTGCTGTCTGTGCAACAAATTGCCCCTCGGGGATAATAAAGTTTTACTTGACTTGACTTGACTACCCATACCACGTCTCTATGGTGAGAACTGACACATTAAACACATAGAGAAAATAAACATTCTTAACTTGGCTAAAGATTTTGTTGCAACTTTTTTTCATTTGATAACTTTAAATTTATATTTTAACACATAGTTGACTGACAGTGACGACGTTAGGGTAAAGASAGGGAGATGTTGAAACAAGATGTTTGGGTTTTTAGAGTGCAAAGTTAGCTTGCACAAACAGGCTTCAAACAGGTGTCATTCTGGAAAAACTATATCTGGAGTCCACACAGATACATGAAAAACAATTTTTAATGTCCGATTTGTAAATTCTTTTGGACAATGTCCTGTTTTTTTTACCAAATCACAGCAAAAATATCTGTTTCTTAAAAATACCTGCAGTAATGGGAATGGTGCCCTAACTTCATCAAATCTAAAAATAAAAGCATTTTAACTGTGTGTGTTAAGTTTTTGAACAATCACACTGGTCTTTGATTTTTTTTTCCCCCTTTGTCAGTCTGCTACTTATAGCTTCATGTCATTCTAAAAAAAAAAAAAGCAAACATATGGGAGAAAGAGAGATTTATTTCGTTCCTGGAGAAAACGTAGGTTAGTTTCAGCACCGACCTGCCCAACAGTCTTGGGTCCTYTTTATACGCAAAAACACTTTCATGTTGTAAAGACATGAAAAAGGTAGACAACAAATGTGAAATGAATAAAAACAGAGTTCAAGGGTAGCGTTCTACAAAATGTAGCTTCAGTATTGATTTTCAGGTTTAAATGTTTGCTTTGATGAAACATGTCAAATAGGTGACAAGACAGATTTTAGGAAAAGAGGAGCTGTAGTAAAGTTATGGTTGTGGTTGAGGTCAAAGGGCAAACAGCAGTGGAGGGGTAATTTGTGTCAAATAAAGGGGTGCCTGACAGTATTGCCATTTAGGAATGTGTGTGTGTGTGTGTGTGTGTGTGTGTGTGTGTGTGTGTGTGTGTGTGTG